GGGAGGAGGGGAATATCGACTCTAGGGGAGGGGAGGAGGGGAATATCGACTCTAGGGGAGGGGAGTCAGGGGAGGAGGGGAATATCGGCTCTATGGGAGGGGAGTCGTCAAGGGAGGAGGGGAATATCGACTCTAGGGGAGGGGAGGAGGGAATATTGGCTCTATGGGAGGGGAGTCAGGGGAGGAGGGGAATATCGGCTCTAGGGAAGGGAAGGAGGGGAAAAACGATAGCAACAACTATTATATACTGTTAGATTTTTCATGTGAGGTCACACATTCGAGAGAGCCCACAAGCAACCATGAAGCTTTGCAATCCTTTCTTTGTTAAAAAAACTGACATCTATTGTTGAAAGCTGCTTTCTAAATGGTTGAACATCAAAGATGGCGATTTTCTTTTTCGAGAAAATCGCGCAAAGGTTCACGGATGCACCTGAGCCTTTAACTACCGAAACGATTTCTGCAAGAGCCAGTCAAGTACCAAATGATTATGATCATAATTTAGTTTTTTGTTGTTGTTTGTTTCAGAGAGCGAACAAAGGACCATTAAATCCAGTTGATTCGTTTAGATATAAGGTATGAAACGGCAGTTTGTGTGTTTCTTTAGATTTCATTAACCACATTATGCGAAACAAATCATAACAGGCAATATAGTGCTCACACACCTTTATCAGGGTTCGAACAGTCTTGAAAAAGTCCTTGATTGCAAATGTTCCTTGAAAAATCCTTAAATTTGGAAGAAAGGTTCTTGAAAATGATAATTTAGTCCTTGAATCAGTCTTGGGTCGTTATCACTGATAACGTTTTTTCCAGAAAATGGCGTCTCAGGTTGGCGCGATGCGAGATTGGATTGGAGTTATTTGCATAATTTAGTTTGTGTACATTCCATTTAGAGCTCTTTGAAAAAGCTTCGACGTTAATTTTGTAACGAAACTTCGTCCTCCTTATTTTTCATTCCTCGATTTCACGTTACGTCATTTCCTCCATGTTCGATGACGATAACAAAGTATTCTCTTTAGTTTTGCTTGTTCAGTCACCCAACGTGTCGGTGATAGCTTTGTTCTTTATTTATCGAGGGATTCTTGATCATGTAGTTGAAACCAAAGATATACATCTAGCATCCATGATGCACTTGGGGCCAACATACAAATGACGTCATTAGGCTAGATGACGATTGGTGCTTCAACTTACACAGATTCTACTAGGAATTTAAGTCTATTTTTTTGTTTTCAAGGTGGAGGAAAGAATAGAATGTAGCCAGTCTAGAAAGGTTCGCTACACACAAAGAGAGGACAATATCTTGTCATTAGGAGTACCATTAGAAGCCATTCTTAATAAAGGTATTTGAATTGGTGAACGCCAGAATGATGTCATTATTGAATGATTGATAAATGCCGTTTATAAAGTTGGGTAAAGTTGCAGTTTCATATAATCGTTCGAATCGACTCAAAATTAGTTGTTACATTGTTCTAAAATTCCTTTGATGAAACGTGGAGCGATCCGACGATTACATTCTCAGTACCTAACTTTTCTTTAGGTTAGTTTTATTGTATTATTGTAAGTCCATTATTTCCTCAAACCATCCCAAGATTCTCTTAGATCGATTCATATCAACATAACACACGGACGCGAATAGACGAGTATTTTGTTTACAATATTCCCAATTGCTTTTAGRCGAGTTTGATGCTTACGAGGTTAAAAGGAAACAAGCTGAGGAAAAGAAGGAACGTTTGTAAGTTCTTATCATATTTTTGTCAATATTCCCCATATTACCAGTTGTTGTTGTCGTCTTGCATCCTGTGGGATTGATGCTACTCCTTGAAATCCTTAGTCTCCTCTCAGCCGTTCATTTTCAGTTTGTATTGCATTGTGGCCTAGATTCGATACAAACATCTTTTGTTCATGCTGCCAAATATGGCGTTCTTTATACTGAATCTAGACCACAATACACCATGATTTTTTCTCAGAAAAGGTCTATGGGTAGAGATATTGAACGAGCAAAATGACGGTTGCGAGAGAAGACTATGAAACCTTTGAAAAGCCCTGGAATTGAAAATTGTCTTAAAAGGCAATCGAAAATCACCTAAAAAAGTGAAACAAAAATACAATTTTGGTTATTTTACCTTCGCTGTATCAAAATTACATAATATTAAAAAAAAATTTCATGACATAACAAAAAGATATAAACAAGCTAAAAAAGGACGGGTTTCTTGGTTCATGCCCGATATTGCCTCGCTTTGGCTCAAAACCACATGCTCCTCGCGCAACTTGTTCCCTACTAACCGAGAAAGGTGTTATTCCCGTTCGCTGATTAGATTGTGTTATTCCATTATTGTAGAGATCCTAGCGAGATGGTCCGACCAAGAATATCGCTGTCAGCATGCCTTGAAGCCTTTGCTTCACCAGAAACCGTACAAGACTTTTACAGTCCAGCAATTAATGCCAAGACCACTGCACTTAAGTATGCTTGAAATAATGAGAATAGAGGGTAGTAGCGAG